AATCAAATTCAACTTTTCTGAAGATAGTTTCCAAATTTGTACTAGCCAAAACTTCACTATATCGAGCGCCGACTGTATGATAATAATTAACTTTTAGTTATTAAAAAAAAAAAAAAAAAAAGTAAATAATAATATATGTACATTGCATCGAATGATTTTAATTTTCATTAAAATCTTTTATATAGCAAAGAAGAAATGGCGTCCACAGTACCCACAATACAACCAAATAAACCCACCAGTATCACAAATAAATTTAAAACCATTTCCCAAATAGTCATACCATTCCACCCAAACAATCTACATAAAATACTACGGGTAATACAAATACCAGTAAACAGTTTGCGAATGCACCTAGCACAAAAACATAAATTTATAGAAATGATCAACATTAATGATTACTGCTTCCGCGGCTGTTGTCCTAGCGCTTGTTATAAGCTAAACCGACATAAAAAAAATTGGTCTCGAGTTAAATTGCTATTGTCATTATAGTTTTATCTATCCAAATTCTCTTCGTTTAAATTCTGACTAGAGAAAAAATTGTTGGTGATGTCCACACGATTGTTCGAGTTTTGATGAGTATGGTTATGGCCAAAGTAATTATGGTTTGTTCCGCGAGAAAAACAAAAAAAAAATTTGTATCGTCATATCTATAGATGGGCGTCTAAATTGTTTTTGGGTTTAGACAAAAATGTCTAAATGTCTAAATTAATATAAATAGTAATGATTTGCTTTAAATACAACTAAAAGTCACGTGTATATACAAAATCCACAAAAAATTCAATTTCAGCATTTTAGACAATTGAGACCATGATTGTCTAAATGTCTAAATTAATTTATTTTTTAGACATTGTCTAAATAATTTAGGACACCCATCTATTGTATATTTAAACTTACACTTGTTTATTTTTTGAAAGAACAAAATAAATAATATTATTATTTGTTTTATTCATTTTATTCAAATAAACATTTGAATAGAAAACCCTAACTGCTACTCAAGATATGATATTATTTTAGTACAAAGGGCTTTAGAAATATTTAATCAATAACTTAATTAGAATATAAAGAGCTATTGGTTTATTAAACTAAGCCAATAATTAACTAAAAAAAGGATTAATTTTAAAAGAATATCTGATAAATATTGGCATTTTCAATATTTACTAATACTTTTAGACTATATGACAAAAATATTATTAACTTATCAGTATGCTAATACCTTGATTATTTTTTTAAAGAATAATCAAATTCTGATATTTGCTGATACCTCATTACCCCATTACCCAATTTGGTATCATTTGGCCAGTAAAGAGATTATATATAAGCAAAGAAAAATGGCACCTTAAATTAGCACAAAAGAATTTTAAATCATGCACAAACATAACAGCTTAATAGCTTGATTGACATAGTGGTGCAGTCTTGCAATTTTTTTATTGTATATTTTAAATATAATTGATCATGTTTTTGACAAAACAAACATGACTTGGCTATTTAATCATTTCCTTCATTTCCTTGTATGTGAATGCCTCCATCCATCAAATATTCATGATGGTCATGATGATTATTTGATACATTTGATATCATCATTGACATAACAAACAATTGCATCACCCAGGTAGTAATGATACCAAGGCCATGCAAAAATGAAACTTTAATAATGCATGTCTACCCAGATCTCTGGGGTTCACAAAATAAATTACTTTTCCTGATTATCAATTATGGTTGCTCATGAATAATAAATCTGATGTTGATTGCAGGTGTCAGATTTAATTAAAACTTTCCTGTCACAAACAATTGCAAACGTGTGCTTTCACACCATCCCATCCCTATGGAATTTTTTTCCACAGGCAAGACACTTACATATTGGGAGGCTTTGGACAAAACATTCCCTTATCTTCCTCTCAGACCAGGCTTGGCTGTTTTCATATGGCAATTGATCATTGATAGCTGGCATTTGTGTGATGATTGCTGCATGTTATTGCCACACTAGCATAAAAGTTGGCACCTGCAACTGATTGAAAATTCAGCAACTTGGAAGTTACAACCTGGGTTGCTGTTTTGGATTTTCCCTGAATTCAGAGTTTTGAGTCCTGGGTTGCTGTAATTTTTATGAAAAGAAAAGTATTAATATTTAACAATTAATTATTTAAATGTATATTTTGTTGAAAAAAATATACATTGATAGTATACATTTTCTGTGCTTAACATCCATGTGACCCTAAGTCTGGACAAAAGATCACTTTCTATGAGTTTGGCTGGTATATCTCAAAGGCATCTCCTGTATTGTCAGTGGCATGCCTACTCACCAACAACCATGCTCCATTTATTTAAATAACAAGTTCAGTTTGTCAAATAAAAATTAAAGAGAAGCAGAAAATTTGGGAAAATGATTAATTTATAACATACCAAACAAAATCTGAACCATTTTATTTTACAGCTTTCTTCTTGATGCCAGTGATCATGGTGACTATCACAATAGGAGTGGGCAGAATCAAACTACCACCTTTATACTTGTAAGGTACATGCTCTCATTGAGCTATACTCCTTTAACCTAGAGTGGGAGGTTATATGGGAAAAAGTTCACATTTAAAAAAACAACAAATTCAGTTGGTCAACAAAAATTAAAGAAAAACAGAGTATTTATGAAAATGATTAATTTATAACATAACATACCAAAATCCAAACCATTTTATGACTTTTTCTTGTTGGCCATATTGCTGACAAAGATGTATATAATCATGTGATAATTTTAACCTACAGGACAGGGAACTGATTGGGCAAAAATCCTGTTCAATCCCTTACCCAAAATCATAAATTGATTAGTATAGTGGCAATCATCTAAAGACATCATCAAATGTTGCCAATCTTTAAGTGCTGATACTTTATTAAATATGGGCTATTTTACCAAAAACTCTCTATTTTTGCAATATTCTAGACATGAAAAATAATGTAATAGAAAGTTTTTTTTGAGTTATTTAATTAAAAAAAAAGTTATAATGGTTTAAAGTTGGGTAACTTTGCTATTTTATTTGAAATTTCGGCAACTATATATCTAAACTGCAATTTACAGATTATTTACCAATTATTCACGTGACAAAGTCACAGATCTTTTACAAATTTGGATTTATTTTATATATTGGATTCTTTATAAAGCAAGATCAGCATATAAATTTTCGGCATGTGGCGCAGCACGTGATGTCTTTTAGATGATTCGCACCATATCAGAGAAACAGAGAATTTAGGAAGTGATTATACAAAACAAACACTATTTTACAACTTTCCTCTCAACATCAGAGCCCAAATGCAATTTCAGGGTCACCAACCCTGCTCTGAATTGTGACCTCCTGTGCTTGAAACAAGCTGCAGATTCTTGTTGCTTTGATGGATCTGGATATTTACATGGCACTACAATTCATCAACAGAGTTGTGACTTGGTCACAGAGCCATCCTTACCCTAGAGGTAGGACCATTGCAGGTGACTTTTCGGCTAACATGGCAGCAGCCATCTCTGGTCTGGGAAGATTAGTGAAAGCATCATTGACAATTGATGCAGTCTCGATAAATTCCAGAGCAGTGCATTTCCCCTCTGGTATCAAAGGCATCATCATATCCATAGGGCGGAGCAGGTCAGATTAGCCTTGTGTACACAAGGAATGTGTGAGAATGACTGTAAAGTGTTCAAGGTATACATGCAGCCCAAATTGGTTTGGTGATTTTGATGGTCAAAATTATTCCAATTTTGATGGTAGAAAGTAGAAATTAATTACGGCATTCACTATTAAAAACATAAGTGTAACACCCCTTTACTACATGTGTAACCCCCCTTTATGACAGTGTCAAAATACTTTGGGCTGCATGTACAGTTCAAGGTAGTGTGCATGCTTCAATATCTGCTAATTTCTGATTCTTATGATAAACCTAATTAATTAATTACATTCTTTGTGAAAAAAATTTTTTCACCTTTATCTCAAAACCATGTCCAACAAAATAATCCATGAATACTTCAATCAAAAATCATCAGAATGGTGTATTCTTGATTTTCTTAATGAGTGTAATGCAGAAACTTTCAAATGGAAGATAGACATTTATATCAAATCTCTTGAAACCATTATTGATTGTGAGCAAGACAGAAGGTGTAAAAAAGCAAAGTTGCTCCTTGATCAATATAGGACAGCAAGTAAAGAATTTTTTTTTCTATTTTGAAATGAAGTGGAAATAAGTGACGTGGTGAAAATCTGCTTGATTGTTCGTCATTCAAAACTGTTCGTTGAGTCACAAACCAGTAATGGAGCACAGATGACCTGCTTGTTTGTCTGATGTTAAAGACTGTTTGTCGATCCAGCACTGGACCCATTGAGCACAGATGATCTGCTTGATTGTCTGATGCTTTGATGGGATCAGAAATCGGTTGGGAATTAGGGATGTGCTACTTGAAGAATATTACTAATTTTCAAATTTTCCATGATAGGGGCCCAATCATAAAATAGCAAGAGAATGGAACAAGGAGCATTCACATAGACAGAACCATCTCCACCAACCAAAATTTACAAGTGGTGGAATTAACAATGTGAATATAAGCAGAATCACCAACAGTGGAACTTTTGTTTCTGGATTGTCCAAAAAAATTATACCCAAAAGAAGCCAGGAAGAGGTACAGACGTGCATTTTTTTTAGCTATAAATTGTGAATCAATAGGACTAATGGTTTTGTATTTTAATATTTAGGACAATGGTCCTGAAGCAAGAGCTTCCAAAAAAATCGCCAAGACACTGGGGACATACACATTATGCCACCACCACATTTGATATTAGCTGAATCAGTGGAAATCATTGATGACTCAAAAAATGATACAGAATCAATTGACATCAAACATGGTGAAGAAGAAATCAGGAGGCTTTCACTGGTATTTTTGCTTTCGCTAGTCTTCATTGCTTTTTTATATATAATTTTATATAATAATTATGTTTACTCTTATTTAATTTATTAGGATGAAATTGACATTCGGAATAAATTACTTGCAATTTTGACTTCACAACAAAAAGAAGATAAGAAATCTGGAAAAGATTGTGTATCATCTATATCCCTAAATCATATTATAGATTCATCTAATAATGAAGTATTCAAACAAGTTAATAATACATTAAATGAAAGTCAAACTGAATGGCTCAATATGGTTCTCCAAAAAAAAATCTTGGAAACAAACAGATGAATTTCAACAGTATATAAGCCAATTCACTGAGGATATGTGTGATAGAGTAAACATTCCAATTTTGGTTTGGGAGTCGTTTGTTCCAAAGGGATCATTTAATTCTTATCATCATGAAACTCATGATATCATGCAACAGATTTTAACACATTTGTGAGTGTTTACTTCGAATATTTGTCAATTTACCAGTAGATAACTTAACTAATTTTTTTTACAAATAGTTCCGTCTGCCTAGAAGCACCAATGAGAATCGAATCCAATAGCCTTGACCTTGAAAGAACATATGCAATAGACACCACAGTATATATTCTAAATCGATTATTTAGAATGCATCAAGATGTAGTGGATAATGGATGGTAAGCACCATTGTAAATTTCGAAGTATTGAGCTGTCTTGCTTGTTAATTCTCTGTTTATTTTGCTTAGGATTGAGCTGACCACTCCTGACACAAAAAACCACAAGATTGATGGACCTTTCAAAGTGATTAAGACGACACAAAAAAAAATCAAGCTATAATTATTGTTGAGTTTTCATTTGGTAGAAGAGCACCTTTAACAAAAGAAGATGGCGAGCAGGTCAAATTATGTCAAAATTCAATGTGAATTTTGAATAAGCTACTACAAAGTGTGCCTAAGGACAAAGCATGCGTTTATCTGATACAAGAAGTCAGTAAGTATTATTATTAGAAGGCAGGTAGTAAAATACGATTTCTCATATATATATACTTATTATATTTTTCAATAGATGGCTATATCATTATCAAGTATCTAGTCTGTCCTTTACCATTAATATATATTCTTCACCAGTTTGCATGTATCAGAATACCTGTGTCCTTTGACGATTTTGAACAGTTTGCTAAAGATATGACATACTTGATGAGTTGGCAGGCATGGATTAAAAATAAATATTTATGAACATTCCTATAAAAATGCTAACAGGAATTGACTTTTATCATTACAGATTGATGTGCTGTCAACAATTAAAGCAATCAATAAAGAACCAACTGGAGATAACAATATCCATATAACATCAGTGCAGAATACTCCAGCAAAGAAAAGGAATGATAAAAATCAGCCTTTACCTTCATCATCTAAATCCCCATCACCTGGATCTCCATTACAAAGATCTGATTTATTTTCATATTTAGAATAGATTTGGAAATGCATATCATGTGATATAATATTTTAATAATGAATAAAAAAAGTAGATCTAATATCAAGAAATGATCGAATATTTTTTTCTGTGGGTACAAATGTTAATATTTGTATTTTGGAGAAATCGATCTTATTTTTTATAAATTGGCATAAATAATTGAGTGACAAAATCAAAAGCATCTTACAAAAATTAATAAAAGTATTGGTTTTTTGATCATTTCATGATCATATAAATATATTATGCGTTATTCAAAACATTATTATTACAATTTATATAATTTATGTATAGGTAATTAAATTATAGTAATTTGAATAAAAATAATTGCATTGAAGCTTGCTTTACTATTCAAAATTGATTTCAACAAAACCAATCTACAACTATTGTGTTTTTCACACGAAATATCACATTTAGGAAACACAGTGCAGGGATACCTTGTGTTAATCACAAAATTTAATTAGTGAAAAGAGAAAATTAGCCCATATGTTGAAATGAATTACGTGACAACTATAATCACATTACCGAATAAAATTTATCCCTGAAATTCTTGGCAATACTAATGTTCGCTTTGTCTGGTTTTGTTGCAGTATGTCCCATATAAACATAAAAATTAATATTAATATTAATATGAAAATTTTAAAATTGATATCAAAACAGTCTTTGTTCCTTGGCTTTATTAAACTGAATTTTTTTGGGAAGCACAAGAGCAAAATCAAAAGGTAAAACATTGTAGTGAACAATTTTTGTTGTGTTGACTGCAATTCTTCAAATGATTGACATCAATATTAAAAAACACCTTTTAAAAAATCTAACCAATCATGAACTACTGGTGCAATATTTTAACTTATATTATTATCTAATTGAAAAAAAAAAATTCTCGTATTTTTTTAACATTATCATTTTCTTTTATTTTATATCTCTCAAATATCTCTCAACAACTATATACAAATTTACTTGCAAACATGTGCATTACAGAAGTAATCAGTTATATTACAAACATTGAGGAAACACCTAAAAACAATTCTCTCTTAATGAATGCTATTGGAATAATTAGTACTACATTTCAAACTGAAAATTAATGTCACACATGATAATTTTTTACCCTAAAGATCCTTCAGTTGAAACTAAAATTCAAAGAATCAAAAAAGATGATATTGTGTGAGCAGCTGGAAAATTTACCATTGAAGAAAAAAATCTTAAAGATCATGAAGTTATTACTCTCATTAAAGTATTTATTATTATTCTATTTTATTACTAACAATTAATTACTATTCTTACAAAATGTCAAATTGTATTTTTTTAATGTAATTATATTAGATTTCAGTAACCAATTTGTAATTAAATTTGATCCAGATCATTTATTACCATTGGATATTATTGTTACATTAAATGGAACTGTGATGGAAAATCCATTTATTTCTGAGACAATAGTCAAATTCAAAATTAATTCATTGGTTTATATTGAAAAGAAAAAGAAAAAAGTGGATATTAATTTCAATGCATACCACAAAACAACTGAAAGACATCTCAAACCAATTTCAAAAAAATTAAATTGTGGTCACACTATTTTTCTATCTGGAAACCTAGAATTAGTGAACGGATTAAAAATGATACAACCAACATCACTATCTTTTGTTAATTCAACCAACTCTAATACCATGTTAGATAACTAAGTTTCAACAACATCTATAAAAATTAATCCTTCAGTTGCAAAAATTGCTCAACAAATTATGGATAATAATAGTTCAACCAATGAAACCAAGAAAAGAAAAGAAACAAATACTTTAAAATCAAGAAATATCAAAATTCCAAAATTAGCACAATTAGCAGTATCACAAATAACATCAAGTAAGGATAACAATTCGGCGCTATGTGCCTCATTCTCGATTGGTATTCGAATGCAACACGCAAAACTAGACCACAAATACTATTTCGGCACTTCGTGCCTCAAATTTGGCATTCGAATCCGAGATACAAAGCCAAAATACAGATTGCTAATTCGGCACTATGTGCCTCATCCCTCACCATAAAAGCCAAAATAAACATTTTCAGAAAAAATTTGTGTCTAACCAAAAAAATACGCTTTTAGTGATCCCATAACGATGGACTTTTGGTGACGCTGTTGACTTCATTACTAGATAAATTTTTTATTACACTATTTTTTACTACCCGATCAACGTGGCTAGAAATTGAAAATGGGTCACGTTCGAAATTGCGAATCGAGCCATATCCCGCCTTCAAGATAGCTTTTCCTAAAATTCCACATAAAGTTGATTGTGAACCATGGTTCACGATAGTCACGTTTGTTACATCTCGGGGCCTGAATGCGGGGTATGAATACATATTTTACCGTCCGATTAAACACCCGATTTAACACCAAATGACAACATAAATGCGGCCAAAAATGCAAAATACACCTCACTCGAATGTGGCCGAAAATGCAAAATAAGAATACTTATCTGGGTGGCCAAAAATTCAGAATGAGCCACATTGATATGTGGCCAATAGTTAGCATATGGCCTGATGATGAAAAATGACCATATCGTGATCCCGATAATAGTTCGCATGGGCCAAAAAAGCGGATTAGGCCACATATGTAGGTATCAGTCTAACCGTGAGTAAGTAACAGTCTAACGTAAGTAGATAATAGTTTATATATATATACTATTACCTACTTCTCTGACCTGAAATAAAAAAACTCATTGAGGAAAATTCAGTTGTATCTCATTCAGAATGGTCAAACCAGAATCAGGGATTAGATGTTACACTTGAAGAAATAAACAAGTCTCTTAAAGCAATTATTCTTCCTTCAGTTTAATATGTAATCAATATAGCATTTAAAGTTTTAAGTTTACTCAATCCTCAAAGATGTTCCGTAATTCTTTATTTCTTTATTTAGAGTAATAAATAATGAATGGCTGCTCAGGAAATAAATTTTTTTTAACCAAAATTAATTAGTGATATTAATAGTCACATGATATCATGAATGATTAAAATATCTTGAATTGGGGGGTTTTTTTTTTTGATAAATAATGGCACAAAAATTATTTGACAATCCTGTTTTTATTGAAGTAATTTCCCAGACACCTCCTATTTGTTATCAAGAAGGACTCAATTCTCTGAAAAAATTTAAAGAAAGTCGAGCTTACAGTATTTTAACAAAAAAACAAAAAGATGAATTAATTAGATTAAAACAGGCACTTTCATTTCAAAAAAATTGTTTAGATAAAAAAACAAATAATAATAAAATTAAAAATGATAAAAATAAAATTGTCAAGAAGAGAAAAAAAACTTTGTCAAAAGAGGAGGATAGTGGCAAGAAAAAGCTTGTAAAAAACTAATATTTTGTATATGAATGCAAGGTAAAAATAATAATATCTATTTTATCTAAATAATATTATTATTTATAAATATTAAATTTTTAATAAAAAATTTTTTTTGAAAAAAATAAATAGAATATATTACATTAAGAAAATCATTAAATAAAGACGAAAAATTGTTTTTTATCTATGTTTTATATCAATCAAAACTAATTATTATTATTATATGGGAAATAACCAGACAAAGTGAACATAATGTCACAAAATAATTTTGGTGGTGGAAATTCTTCAACACCACACTTGTAGTCTCTTGACTGTGTTTTATTTTCATTGCTTTTGGTTTCTCATTTTTAATCATACAAGATAATCGGAGTGATTAGTCCAAAGCACAGATTGGGTTATTATTGCCTAGTGTCTTTTTCTTTTGGGTATGCTTTTAACTTATTGTATTCTTATATAGGGTATATTGCAACAAAACCAAAGTGAGCATTTGTATTACCAAAAATTCAGGGACCAATAATGTTTGTCTAAACATCACAATTACAATTATACATGAAGCCCAAATTGGTTTTGGGATTTCAAAGGTCAAAATTATTCCAATTTCAATGGTCAAAGTCAAAATTAATTATGACACTCACTATTAAAAACATAAGTGTAACACCCTTTATGACAGTGTCAAAATACTTTGGGCTGCATGTATAATCACAATTAATGTGATCATGATATTTTTCTGGACAAAAATTGTTAACATGAAACTCATTTACATCTGATCTACTATGGAACCAAAGAATTACAGCACCATTAGTAGTATTTTGAAAAGGGAACAAAGTAAAAAAATTGCTCCTTACTCAAGCTTATCTGAAGAAAGAAAAGATTGCTTATGAAATTTATCAAGAAGAAACAAAAATAATAAATGTTAGAAAAAGGAAGCAGAATGAAGGTGTATACTACCTAACAAAAAACAGAAACCTTTGGAAGAAAGATAATCTTATTATTACACATAAATCATAGCAATTATAAAACCTAAAAAAGTTATACTGTTGTTCATAATCAAACAGAATTGTTTTATATTCATCAGCAGCTTTGACAAAATCTTCATCTTTTAAATCAGGGATAGTAGTTTTAACAGTAATATTGTAGCTGTTTTTTTATTATCTTTGGATTATCATCAAAAGGAAAATTTTTCAATCTTCTTTAAATTGCTTTCTTATTTTCAATCAAGGTAATTTTTAACTTGAATTTGAGCAACCAATTGACCATTTTGTTGTTGTAGTTGTGTTAGTTGAACTTTTAACTTGTTAGTCTCCTCTAATAATTCTTGAGGAGTTAACTTTTTCAATTGCTTATTTTCTTCTTCCGATTATTTTTGTATTTTATGTCAATCTTCTACAACCTCTAGGCTTTTAAATGGGTATCCACTTCCTCTTCTAACTGCTTTTCTTTTTCTCGCAACCCATTTGTTTGTTGTTTGTGAAAAGATACTTCTCTTCTTTCATAAGGTAGAACTGGTAATTCTTTTTTGTTAACATCTTCATTATATCTAATACAATCACAAACATAATTACCCCTCATATCTGAACCATGTCTGTTTTTAGTCTTCCACATCTCTTGCAATTTGCTAACTTATCATTTTCAAACTTTTCTTTACAGCTTTCACAAGCCATGTCAGTCAACTTAATT